CTGGGTCAGGTTTGGTCCAGATTCCTCCCAGTCCTGGGTCAGGTTTGTCCCAGTGCTCAGCCTCTGTTTCCACCGTTGTATCTTGTCTAGATTTGACGTCATCAGCAGATGGTTCAGAATCTGTTCTGGTCCCAGATAAATTATCTGAGTCGAACCTTGTTCCATCATTGCCTTCAGATGTCCAGGCTGGTTTTAGTTCTGGTTCTGGACCACCATCAAGATCAAGTCCTCTGTCCACCCTTACTCCAGTTCTTGCCTGTCAAGCACCTGAGGCCACTTCTTCCTTCTGCCCCGCCATCACTATTGAGCCTGAAACGTCTCGTTCTCCTCTTGCGGTTCTCCCTCCCTCCTCCCCTCGATCCCCTCCCTCTCTCGCAGCACCGGCTCTACTCTTGGACCCCCTCGCTGCTTTGCAGCACTCTGACAAAGGTGGCTCTTCCTCCGGCCACGCATCGTCCCTCTCCCCCTCACCTCGTGCCACTCAGTCCCCACCAAAACAGACTGTCTTCTCCCCATGTGTGGACGTTTTCGAGCCCGGACCTCCCAGCTGGGAGGATGAAGAAGAGGAGCAGGATGACAAGGACAATGTTGAGGATGAGGAAGATGACATGGAAGCTGATGAGAGCCAGTACAGACATCGACGACTTACTGGTGATTCTGGGATTGAGGTGTGCAGATGTAGAGTGGAGGACGAGGATGATGATGAAGATGAGGAAAAGGACAGCAGGAGAGGAGGTGGAAACACTGAAGTGCATGATAGTGTAGATTGTCCTGCAAGAGGTCAGATGAACACGGGGGACGATCTTTCACTGTGTACACCCACCGCCGCTGTCACCACGCCACCGTCTGACGACGGCTGCAAAGTCGTCATTGTCATGGAGAAAGTTTAAAGTCAACGTATTTTCCGTCCTGACATCGATAGAGCTGGAGGCAGTCATGAAGTGATGTTTGAGGTCCTTCATAACTGCAGGGGTTGTATAAGTTAGATGGCTGATCGTCACAGGTAAATTATTAGAGTTAGATCAAGGGTTCAGCTACAAAGATTAGTTCAATATGACCATTTTTTCCAAACAGTGGAATTATAGAAGCCAAGTTTCTTCGTATTCAGAGATCTGTACACGGCTCGTGTCGCAGGATGATAGTTCAGTGCAGTTTTTGGAGGAGGAGCATTGACCAACCTTCATTATTCAACATACGTGTGTTTATCTGTGGAAGATGACGTTTATGAGCTAAATTTAAGCACGTCTAGGTAATTTAGACCTTCACACGATCTCTAAACGTCTGTGAGCAGATATATATATATATATATATATATATATATATATATATATATATATATATACATATATATATTGATTGATTGATTGATATACAAAGAACTCAAAAACTGATGCAGTGGCATCGAACCAGATCTCTTCTGGTCGTGATCCTGTGGCATAAACCTCAGACACCTGGTAATCTGCAGTCTACAGAAAGCAGGTCCGCCCATTTTCACTCCTATGGTCTAACATGTGAAGACATAAAAAACGATCTGGTCTTTATCAGGTACTAAAATTATTCAAAGTGTCAAGTGAAGAGAAACACCCAGAAAATCCCATCAAAACAAGTGGTTCCAGGTCCTGATCCAGCAGCAGAACCCTCCGTGGTTTTCTGTAGGACCTCATCAGCCTCTCGTGGTTATGGAGGAGTTTTGGCCCCGTTTTTTCTCTTTGTCTCGTGTAAAGAAAAATAAAAATACAGCAGGACGAACGTAAAGTGGCTTGCACCTTACAGCAATGACGCTTTCAGTCACATGACCATAAACGAACTATTTAAATACCGAACATTTAGCCGGAGATACCTTGCACGCCGTACTGGTTGATGACGAAGGTTTGGAAATGTGCCGTGGAAAAGTTGGCTGCTTTAAAATGGTGTGGGCGGGTGATTCACCGACTGATTGACGGGGGGAGACTGATTCATTGGGTAAGGAGACGTTTTGATGGATAAGTCTGTCAGCAGAGCAGAATTGGGCGGTCCGCCGGCAGTTTTTCTCCTTACGGGTTCGGTTCGGCTGCGTGGAAATTTCTGACGGCTCAGTCGGCTTCCTGTGCGTCAACCTCGGCAACGAAAAAGCTTTTACATAAATAAAAACAAACAATGGCTGCTTTTAGACAGAAACAAAGCGCCAAAGAGCCGAGACCGAACACGTCACGCTGTCTTTGTCTCTTTCTCCAACGATGAGGTCAGATGGAACAAGATGTTATCGCTGTGTATTCCTTTACTTTTCACTTTGTGCGTCTCTTCATTCATAGGCATCTCTCCGGTATTAGTGCCGAGCACAACAATTAAACATAAAGAAAATTCAACGAACAAAGTAATTCAGGCCTTGGCCTGGTCCTGTTGAAGAATTAGAATATATTTTTAGGCGTCGTCGATGTTTCGCACATTGTCCGCTCCGTAGACGAGTCAGTGTACATATTTTGTGACAGAAAGACGTCGAGACAGAGTATATTTTATCAATGAAGAGGAATTAGTACCGCTTGTTTTGTACATGCTGGCGTGTTTCCTTAGAATCTAAAAATTAGAAGTGATGTGAAGAGCAATATTTTTCATCAGCAGGAGTCTGTGTGTAAATAACCCCGAGAATAAAGAGTAGGAGCAGAAAGAATGGAAGTTCCTCCCATGGTTTTGGGTGAAAAGTTCATCGGTTAGGTTTGGACTTACGTTTTGGGTTGTTCAAAATCAAAAGCGCCTTTCACCAAACAGTTCAGTGACATTGACACAAAGATGCCTCTGACCATTTATAAATCGAGCCGCCCATGTCTTGCGATGCCATGAGCGTTCATAAATGAAGCCAGCATCGTGGAACCACACGAAGAGTGGAGAAGAACCCAGCAGCTGCACCTCAGTGTGGAGCACGACACATAAAACGTGCATCAGACGTCTCTCCATAAATCCTGTTGCTCAGATGGTCTGCCATCACTGTGCGACACCATCGTCACGTATCGACCGGTTCAGATCCGTCGCCTCCTGCCTCAGAGTAATCGTGTCGGCTTGACTTCAACACCGAACGCCACCTCTGTCTCCTCATAAGTCCCACCAAGACAGCAAGTAGACGTCTGTACCAGCTTGAAGCGTTTGTGTAGGAGGTTAAAGTTTTTCAATGCATCCTGGAGATTTTCCACCAACATGGAAGTATGACTCCACTGTTCCCGATAAGGACACCAAGTATTTTCAACATGTTTGGAGACAGTCAGTCGCCGTACGTGGATGACACGTCAGAACAGTTGAAAGATCGAATCTAAAACCGTTCAGTGACAAATAGATCTTCATGTGAGTGGGTGGGAGTTGAAACACGAACAGATATTTGATGAGTTCACAGAGAAATGGTGCCTCTTGCCTTTTGTTACACCTGTGTGTTGTTACAGATGGTAGCTCCCATAAAACGTTTCCCAAGGTGCACTGAGTTTTGGAGCATATCAAAAAGTCCTACTTTATTCATAGAGACGCTTCACGGGGATGCCAGCAGGTTGGATCAAAGCTTTTCACCGTTGGAACATTTTAATATTGTCTCCACAGACTTTTGAGCTGGTGTTCGTGTCTTGAGCAAAAGAGAAGCTATAACATGTCACCTGGTATCATCTACTCAATGTTTCGAATGGAAGGACCCTGAGTCTGGTTGAGCCTTGTACCCTGAGTCCATGCTGCATTGACTCACCCTTCATGAATTACTACCGAGGCACCTTTATGGATGCAACTGAGGAATAAAGCTATGCTGGACTTGATTGGACTTTGTCCAATCCTGCCATAGAGATGATGTGACGGACACGGCCATTCTGTTTTAGGCATCTTGGGGAAACACAAACCTAACTGGATCCAGGCCTGGTTTGATAGAAATGACCCAAAAGTCTGGTTCTGGGCTCTGAACGCTCAGACACTAACGATACCTTTGGTTTGTCTTAACTTGTTGAATGGCGCCTGTGGAGTGAGAACACAGGTTTCTGGAGACCGAAGGACCTTCTCCAGAAAGTCCCAGGGCGACACCCAGCCATTGATATTGTAGTTGATGTTGTGGTTGGTGGTGTTTTTTGTTTACCTGAACTAATACTGATATATATCTCCATGGTTTCTGAGTGCCATTTCTACTTGACAACTGTTACTACTTAGCATTATTTAGAGCGGTTCTCGCTCTGTGTGACTGTGGCCTTTCGAGCAGAATGACTGAAGAAATGTTGTCTGTACTTTAGGTTCTCAAAGGCTGTGCAGACCTGAGATCAGCTAAGTCAAGGAGGAATTATTAAAATTGCCTTAAAGTGTCGGTAAAGGAGGAGCATGTTGGGAATTCCAGGAGTCTTGCAGTAATTTTTGTTTGGTGGAAATGTCTCCCCATAAAATCTGTGTAATCTGAGAAAAAACACACCAAACTTGGTATAAAGTACACAGTACTCCTTGTTTTGGGCTTACAGTTGAGACTGGAATCGTTACCGTGCAAGGTGTCCACAGTCCTGGTACTGTTGGGCATCTGGGATAAACAGATTTAAAAACTGTCATAAAACTTCAGATACGCCAGGCTGACCCCGGGACTGTGTAACTTTGGGAATCCTTGTCTTTATGTCGTCTTTGTTGAGTTCTGACGCACTTGTTTTTCATCAGATGTTCAAAACACTTAACCACTGTCCTCTGTATCTGGAGACCTTCACGTTGACTGGATTCACAGTGATGGGTCAGACGTTTGGTTGGAACTCAATACCAACTGCAGCGTGAGGTTTGTAGGGAAAAGGTTGTTTAAGAATCAAGATTAGTTCCTGTTTTCTAGCCCTGGTACATTTTGTTGGTGAAGCATAAGGAAAAGCCTGAAGGTGGAGCAACAGACAATTCAGACACAAATGTTGGGCTGAAAATACAAAAATAAGCTGAAGAGACAAAGTAAAGCTAATCTGGCAACCACAACGACTTATCTTGGAACTGAGGTCTGGACTGTTGGAGTTCAAGGCTCTAAAATAAATTAGCCAAGGTATTTGCTCAAAGAAGCTCAGGGCTAGATGCAAAATAAAATCTTGGAGGAAAGCATCGTTGGATAGGGACTGACTTAAATATAACCCTGGCAAAAGTTGCATATCAGTGTCCTGTAACTGCATATCAGTTCAGAGGCATGCATCCATATTTAAATCAGTCCAGTTAGCCGGCCCTGAAGTGTGACTTCAGTCCAACTTAGTTCTGGATTAAAACTCTTATTAGTTCTTGATCGGCTCTCTCTTGTTTAAGGAGCATATAAGCAGTTTCCCTGTGACGTTTGACTAAATAATTTACTGAGATGTTCCTCCTTTTGGTACGAGTCCTTTTCTCTGTTTACGGGGTTCAACCTCCTGTCTCCTCTTTTGTCCTTACTGTTGGCACGAGGTGTCTGTCGACAGTCGGGAAGAAGAGGAGAGATGACTGGTTCAAGTTCCTCAGTATCAGGATGACAGAAAGACTCATTATTAGTACTATTAAAATAATAGTGTGTGTGTGGATGTATGTGTGTAACCTAACTAAACCAGCCTGTTCTAAAAGTAAAAATACAACGAATAAAACTGTTGAACCTTAATGTACTTTGTTTCTGAATATATCGTAGCACACATCGCACCACTAAACTAAAGATTATTGATTATTGGTTAAAGAGCCACGATAATTAAATACTTTAGCCATTTGTTACATTATCTAATAGTTTTTTTTACATATTTTTGCAATAAAGTGCGTTGGGAGTGGTGGCGCAGAGGTTAGAGAAGGTGAGACTGTGATCAGAAGATCGCTGGTTCAACTCCCAGTACCGACAACACCAAAATGTGGGTGGGATCAGTGAAGCACCCACACCTGCCTCCACCCTCATTTACCCCACTCTGGGCCCTTGAGCAAGTCCCTCAACCCCCACCCTCTGCTCCCCGGGTGCCCTGGATGTCGGCTCCCTGCCCCACACAGAGGCTGTGGTCGCTCGGTGTCTGTCAGGAAGAACATCTGGTGTCAAAGTAATTGTCTTCAAGACTTCCTGCGCCGTAGTTCGCTGTGGAGAAGTAGTAAATGTGGCATAGTGCAGCTAGAGAGCAGATTATTGTTAGTAGCTAAAGCTTATAACGTATACATGCATATATATGAAATGTTCCATAAAACCAATTATCATGTGCTTAAAAGCTAAAAAAAAAAAAACTGTTTATTTTGTTAGCATACAAGTTAGCACTTTTAACATTTGTCTTACTTGAACAGAACAGTTGGGTGCAGATAAAAGTATAAACCTTAAAAATTACAAAGAACCAGCATACGTTTGTTTATTTTTGTAAATACTGCATGTTTATGTTTTTTTAACTTTAATAATATTTTAGCGAAGCCTTGTTATTTTGGCCTCGAGGTTTAGCTATTTCCCTCCTTTTCATTTAACCCCGCCCTCCCAGCCTGGCCTTGGAGTGACTACGACCTTATAAGGTAATGGCTGCAAGACCACACCCAGTCGTCCTTGCAAGTTTGGAGGGGAAACCCCATCTGGAAGCTTAAAGCTCATTCGCTGGAGCAGAGAGGACAGGAAGAGGAAAAGCTCCAGCCTGGCTAGTGATTCGCCAACACAGACTCGAGGCCCCGCCCCGAACGGCAGGAAGCAGGAAGGCGTGGCACGGTGGCCTTGGTCGTCAAGGAAACGATCTGTTTGGAGGGAGAAGGGATTGAAAGGTAGTTTATTTTTGGTGGTGTTTTGCTAACTAAAGTTTGTGTTAGCGTGTACCTGGGTGGAACAGATCAGGTCTGTCCCAGTGTTGGGGGTCGTGGTGAATCGACCACATGTTGACCAAAACACGAGTTCCACGTCTCACAGCGTGACCTCCAACACTGTGAAGGAGAGTTGGTTAGCATGTAGCTGGCCTACTACCAGTCTACGCTTGTTGAGACACAGTAGCTTTAGTAAGTTACAAAGTAAGAATTCACAACAAACATAAAATGACGTTTAAAATGAAAGACACTACACAAAACTTACACATTTCTCCTAAACTACCACTAAGTTACATCTGTAGTCACTTATGCTGTTTCATTTGTATTTTAAGACCGATAAATCTTGAACATCCTCCAAAGTCAAAATTCTGACCCAGAAAGTTGGAACGTTCCCGCCGGCTCGGCCACGAACCCAACACGACTCCCTTATGCAGGGAAAGTTGTGACAGATGCATTAATAAAGTTTTTATTTGCACTTCTGACGATACAGTCCCGCGTATTATTTACTGAACTACCTGAAATAAAAAACACGCTGCTAGGTGTTGGACTGCATAAACTGCATTCTTTCACTTATTTTAGTAGTGGTAGATTTCCTGGTCACCGAACAGGTTCTCCAACCTGCAACTGGTACTAGACTGGTTGTGACGTTATTTTCAAACCCAGCTTCTGACTTCAGACGTAAATGGAACTCAGAATTACTAAAAACAATCAACTAGTTTACTGTGAACATGAAAATCTCTCCTTTCACCGACCCCAACGCTGGTTACAACAGTAAATTATATTGGCGCCTTCTGGACCCATGGGTTCCTCTTAGAAATGCTGTCTGGTTCTACCGTCCTTACAGGACAAGGCAGTGTCGGTCTCGTCCAGACTGTTCTTATCTTGGTCCAGTGATGGTGGACAAGTCTAATGGTCTTTCAGAGCAGCATTTCTCTCTACCTTCATGAACTCCTTGAGGACACGTATCTTCTTTTAATGTCGTATCTACAGGGACTGATCGTCGGGGTTAGAGCTTATTGCAGGTACGGCTGTTTACTGTACGTTGATTCAAGTACTAAGACTAGGTGCAAATACTTCATACTGAGGTTGTTGTGGTTTAGCCGACAGCATTTTACGCCACATAAGATACCAATGACCTCCAGAACAATAATCCCAAAATGGAGGCAACACACCTATAAAGCCTGACAAGAATTAATGGTTTGATACAACCCTCACTAAGGGGTTCTGTTTTATAAGCCAGTAAAAGCCCCAGAACCAGATTCACCTGCTGTCGGTCAAGGCGGTGTGGGGGATCAGTACCGGACTGACCGGTCGGATCCTCATGCCCTCATTAATGACACACTCCAGGTACGGTAGCTGGCTGCGGTCTGACACTCTCACCGCTCGCTCACTGCCTACGTGCTCGTCCAGCTCTTTCTGCACACGCTCCTGGACCTGGAATAAAAACCCAGAAATGTTACTAACCCAGAACTGGAGCCACTGGACCCTCTTGTTCCAGAAGCAGAACCCCACCTCTGGGTGGTGCAGCAGGTAGGCCAGGATCCACAGCAGAGTGGTGGACGTCGTCTCCACTCCGGCTCCAAAAGCTTCAGCCGCCGTCATCAGGACATGGTCGTCTGTTATCCCCTCCTCCTCTGATCCATGTGACTTCTGACCCCGCCCACTTCCTGTCTGACCTTTTAACAAGGCGTCCAAGAGGTCCCGAGGTTCTCCATCGCTGAGCGATGCCTGTTGGCCACCACAGAGGAGATGGGACTTTCAGGGTCTGGGCTGTAGTGCAGCCTGCAGGGGGCGCTGCTGCCCTCTGGTGGCCCACATGTTTTCATCTGGCTTGGTGTTACCTTGTGCTCCTCCAGTTTGCGGCTCAGCAGTTTGTCCCTGACCGTGATGCACTCCTTCAGTTTACTCAGAGACCTGTTGGGAAAGAACTGAAGGACAGACAGGGTTTGTTTTATTTGTGGACATTGGATGAAACTCGGTGGGACCATCTGGTGCTCCACAGAGAGAACTGCTTCAGTTTACTGCACTTCAAACCTTTGGCTGATCATTACTTTCATTTGGAACATGTTAAAGGTAAGACCATGACCGCAGAACTGCTTGGCCTTTTAGGAGCTTCAGGTCACTCTGGGGACCAGGACTCCTCAGATCCGTCTTGTACCTTCATCCAGGGGTAGATGTCCACCAGTCCTCCTTGGGCGATCGTCTCCACGATGCCGTTGTTGTACCGGATCACCTCCTGCAGCTCGCCGTCGCCGTGGCGATAGGTGCTGCTGAACACCAGGGTACAGACCACGTTGGTGACGGCTCTGGTCACCGCGGGAGACGGGTCGAATCCACGTGTCCCGTTGGACAGCAGCTCAGCGCACAGACTGTCCACCGAGGACAGAACTGCAGAGAGAAAACCACGTGTTGATCATTGGACTTCAGATGAATACGCTGTTTGAGACTCCAAGCTCCCATCGTCACCGTACGGCAGGTTGTATCTGTTTCTAATGAGTCGGCTCCTCTGACGCCTCCTGCTGATCTGACCCTCTGTGAACTTTGTGATCTTTGGCCAATGATCCTGATGAAACCGTTTAAAGTCGTTTTATTCGTCTGTTTGTGGGTTTTAAAGTAACGAGTAAACATCTGATGTTTCTCCTCTGAAATGAACGGTCCTGCAGACGTCCTGACAGCTAACTAGAATCATTGTTTGGTGGTGCAGCGGAGTGACGTGGTCTGGATCTCAAACACGTGAAGCACGCAGGTGGGCTGGAGGTGTACCTGTGTCCTGCAGTCGGCTGGTGCCCTCTCCGAACAGAGCGAAGGAGTTGTGAACGAGGCGTCGGTGAAGCTTCCAGAGAGGAGAATAATCGGAGAAGGCGATGTCCTTCCCTCCTCTGGTCAGCAGGCTGGTGGTGACCTGAACACCAGAGACCTTCAGACCTTCAGACCTTCAGACCTTCAGACCTTCAGGTGAAGCTGTCAGGACTCGTCTGTATAAACTGTGTAACTGCACATAACGCTCTGTCAGGTGGGACCTCGTCCTCTGTATGTCCCACCATGTTTGGACGTCCAGCGAAGTCCCTCCCCCTCTGCAGCAGAACGTCACGGGCGTGTCGGTGGTTGTTCACCACGAGAGTGAAGTGAGGGCCGATGTAGAGCCCGAACAGGGGTCCATACCTCACAAACAAACAAACAAACAAACAAACAGTGTTAAAGGGTCATTGATTTTCGGTGGTGGAGACGGTGGACCAGTGATCAGAAGGTTGCCGGTTCAACTCCCCAGACCAACAACATCAAATGTGGGTGGGAAAGGTGAAGCACCCACACCTGCCTCCACCCTCATCTGCCCCTGGGCCCTTGAGCAAGGCCCTTAACCCCCAAACATCTGCTCCCAAACAGGTCTCTGTTGAAATGACTTCCTGTAAAAATAAAAGTAAAAAAACGATTAAAGAAACAAACAGTTTTAAACAGAGAGCCCCTCCTGCACCTCTTATAACCATAAATACATTTATTGATCCTGTCGATCACCGTTAACGACCTGAACTGATAATCATTAAAAACAGCTGGAACAGTCTATAACTCATCTGGAGGCCCACGGGCCAGAACTTCAGTCCAGTCCACTTCATTAAAAACGGGGGGTGGGGGGTGGGGGGGGTGTCTGGGTTTGGGTTCTGTCTATGACATTTATGATTCAATGCAATAAACTCATTTAAAAGGAAACAGATTATTTTAACCTTTGCTTTATTTACATAAAGATTTAATCGCTGGATGTCCGGCCCCTGAGCTGCTGCTCTCAGTAACTGTGGCCCCTGAGCTGCTGCTCTCAGTAACTGTGGCCCCTG